CCCCGGTTTTGTGGGCTGGCCTGCCCCTTTGAGAGGCCCCCACCCGTTAAGCACCGCCTGAGGTCTCACAGCTTGTAAGGGAAACTTGAACCCAGAACTGTGCCACCCACAGCCCTCAGCTGCCACAGCCACAGGGATCATAATCGGACTTTATAGAAAAGGAAACTGAGGCTTAGAGAGCTGCGAACAGAGCCAGGCCTCCATGCAGGATCCCTGCAGGCCAGGCCCCTGGGAGACCAGGAGGCTTCCAACAGGGAGGCTGAACTGAACCGGGTCATCCTCTACTCACACCCCTTCCTGTTCCCCTGCCCTTGGGGCAGGGACGGACCTCCTCCACAGTGCCCAAGCCCACTATGCCCAGCCCAGTGCCCAAGCCCACCGTGCCCAGCCCAGTGCCCAAGCCACCTATGCCCAGCCCACAGTGCCCAGCCTACCATGCCCAAGCCCACTATGCCCAGCCCACAGTGCCAAGCCCATCACACCCAGCCTGCCGCCCTGCCCAGCCTGCCGCCCTCCCCCTCTTCCCCGGCCACTCGGGCGCAGTCTCTACCCCCAACGCTGGCCTCTCTTCGTTTTCCTAATGTTCCCAGTTTCTGTTGCCCTCAAGCTTTGGCCCTTGTCACCTCCTTGCCAACCCTGCCACTTCAGTTTCAGCTCAAATGTCACTGACTCTGGGAGCCATCCCTGCTGGCTGACCCGTCATACCCTGTCACAGGCCCTCAACCACCACAGGTGCGAGCAGGCGGGGTCAGGGTCTGCTTCATGTCCATCTTGCCCCCAGAGCTAGAGGGAGGCTGGGGATCCGGCCCTCCGCTGTGTCCACTGCGCCCAGCAGTAACTGGCACATAGTAGGTGCTTCATGAAGAGGAGCTGAGGCTGTGCCTGGCAGGTGGGAGTGGGGGTGCAAAAGAGCCTTGGGGGACATAAGATCTGACCCCCTCTTTTCTTTCTCAGTTTGCTGTAGGGTGCAGGTGCGGCCCGAGGCAGGTGGAGGAGGAAAGCAGATGAGTGTGCCCACCCTCCAGCAAAATAAAACAAGAGAAAGAAAGAAAGAAGAAAAAAGAAAAGAAAAGGGAGCTAGAGAGAGAGGGAAAGTGAGAAATTACCCCCTGGGGGATGGCCATGGCAACCCCTTCTTCTCTGGGGATTTCAGGCACCTACCAGCTGTGGTTTTGAAGCCATGGGTCTTGGGCTAACCTTGGAGACACCTGCCTGACCCCCTTCTTTGTGGAAGTCCTGGGGAGGCCAGATACGAGCTGCAGTTCACACACTAGTGAGTGGGGGTCAGGACTGGCACTCAGATCACCTACCCTCCAGGCAAGACTCTCCCTCCCCAGTCCAGGAGGAAGGCCATCTCCTCTTCCCCTCCTTCCCCTGCCCCTTCCTCTCTTCCCACTCTCCCTCCCCGCTGAGGCTGCAGAGCCACACGCTCAGCCAGGGCTGGGGGCCCTGACCTGACCCCCTTCCCTCCCGGCTGCCCAGGCTCTGCGACGTCAGAGCCACTCCGCTGAGAAGACCCACGCCCCAAGTAGGCCCACCGGGCCCAGGCCGCGGGGGCCGGGACTCACCTCCCCCCCTGCCCCCCCCGCCGCGTCGCCCCCCTCCCTTCCCGGCTCTCCTGAGAGCCCGGTTCTGAAGTCTCGAGGCCACTCGCTCGCTGTGTGTTCCCGGACAAGGCGTGTCCCCTCTCTGAGCTTAGTTTATCTACCAGACACACGGCTGGAAAGGATCCGTGATAAGCAAACTACAGCCCCAGCGGCGTCTGGGCTGGGCACGCGAGCAAGCGCGGGCACTCTCCGGAAGCCTGGCCCTCGCCCTCCGGGCAGGCAGGGCGCAGGGAGCACCGCCTCCCCGCTTCTAGGTGAGAAACAGCTCGGAGGGGTGGCGCGACTGCCCCAGGAAGCGGGGCTACGGGCCGGATCTGCCCCCACCCTGCTACCCGGCCTTCTCTCGGTGGGGTCCTTCCTCCTCCCAGCGAGTTCGAGGGCTCCCCGGGGCACGGCCCGGCCCGTGTGCCAGGCGCTGGCTGCAGGGCCTGCGGGCGCGGCCGCTGGGTGGCCGAGCTGGGCAGGGAGAGGGCAGCGGGCGGGGGCGCCGGGCCGCGCGGGGGTCGGCCGCGGGGCGGGGCGGCGGC